AATAATAGGACAAAACTTATGCAGCAGCCCAAACTAACTAATTTGCTTTGGCTCACATCAGAAGTTCTACTTTGAAATCTCAGAGGAAAGTTCGCTTTTTTAACCGAGAAAATTGATAAAACACCCTCGCGCTGCCAAGAATCTTGCAGATAAGCCCTCTCACCAGATAAATCTGTTCACAGATAAGTCCGCTTTTGTGAAATGAAGACTGGAGAAAAACATGCGGAATCCTACAGATGAGTCCGCTTGTCTCAAGCATGAGCAGGCGCGACCTAAGCATACAGCTAGACGTGCGCGCGACCGCTCGCGTAGTTGGCCGGTGAGATTTAGATAAAGCTTGTTATCGCTTGAAAACCGCCTAAGGAGCTGACAAGAAGTGCAGACTACTTGCTAAGAATACCGTCAATGTTTGTATGTACGAACTTGAGGACCCGAGTGGTAACGGTTTTCCACCTCACTGCTAGCAAATACTGGGCCAAGATAGATTTGTGATATAGGCTAACTATAACACGTGCATCGCTGTTTCAATTAAGAAAAGAAACGGACATGTCTGAAGGCGGATTGATCTGTAGACGGACTTACCTGATGAGAGGACGTATCTGTGAGATACTGAGATACCGAGACTGTTTATCGATGTATATTTGCTGTATATTGTGCTGTATACTGTGAATTTGTTATATTTGTAGCACGTTTGTGGTCTCCGAGAGTTCTACCATCATGCTGACTACAAAGTGCATCATCCGGTTCTACAATCTGCTGTTGATAAAAGTTTCTTACAGATACATCGAAAAGGAATTACTTTGCCAAGTTGCCACATTGTCGTCATCAAATACATTGCCAAGGACCTTTTCTCACTTAATAAAAAAGATTACAAGAAGATCAGAAGAAAAAGAGAGAAAGCACGTTACACTGCAAAGGAACAGTCTCGCAGAACATGCAGCAAGTTGTAGATATACATCAATAAACAGCGAAGCTATGCTGCCGTGAGCGCATTTCCACTGCGAACTGCAGCGGCTTACGCCGCAGGACGCGGCGTGCTGCGGCAGTTGGTTCTAACAAAAAGACTTTGTGACATGAGAGTTTACCTTATCTGAATCACAGTTCTGCGTCCTGCGGCGTGCGCCGCAGGCTGCCGCGTCCTGCGGGCTAGTATGAAGGAACCCTAAGTATCTTTGAAACCCAATGACATTTCTTTTTTCGAAAAGCAAACAGAGTTTGATCAATTGGTCCATGAAACAAGCACTTCACTGGTTCTACAAGCGCTGCAGGCTTGCTGACAAAAAAACTTATGACTTTTAAGAAATTTGCCTGAAGATGGCGTAAACTTGGGCCTTACTACTCACAATAACAGCACAAGCTGTGGTCCTTGGTGTCAGATATTCCAGGTGTTTTTTACTTACTCCATTTTGGTTTATTGAGAAGGGATTTATGCATGTTGTGCTCTATCAAGGCGTAAAGAACACTTATGGGAGAGAGACAGCGGCATAAAACGCTTTTATAGTAAATTTTTTTCCGTTACTGTTAATATCCGCATTATCTTTGCTTGATTGATAATCATGAGCAGTTTCTTTATTCCCTGTTAAAGATACTATGCTTGCATATTGACCAGCAAGCAGTTACTTCACAGCTTTCACAGCAAGCAGTTGGTTACTGTGGTTAAACAAAGTCGCCCTCTTGGTGCAAGTCATTCACTTGTTCCAGCTAATGAAAAATTCGCAGGCTCGCCTGAAAAACAACCACGAGACAATGAGAAAATCCCTCACAAGTTTACGTTAGCCAAGTCAAATTTTTGAATCTTAGCCTTTCATGTGAACCTCCTCTATACGAATCTCCTACCTCGATGAGTAAAATGAAGCACAGTCACTTTCTCCAGATGAATCTGTTTTCATTTCAAACCTCATATATGCTTTAGATGCTGAGTAAGCCATTATTTAACATTTAAGATAATGGTCATTTAAGACATTGCCAATAAGACCAGCAGACAAACCCACCACTGGCCATCGTTTTCCATAAAAAAGGAAGCTTGTCCGGATCGAGCTTCTGTTTGGTAGGTAGAATCCATTCATCATTAACATCCTCAAAATAGTTCAATTTCGGCATCTCAAGAGCTTCGGGGAGATCTCCAGCAAGAATTGGCGTAAGATTGGGTTCCGAGTTGTCTCCAACCTGAACAACTTTTTTAACCATTTTGATTTTGGATTTCACTCTCCCCTTTCGCTCTCTTAAATTCTCTATACTCACATGTATAAACAAATATGTTTCTTCGTCATCAGGACTACTCCATGTAGTGTAATGCCACGTGTCTAGTAAGTTAAATTATTTTTAGTTACGAAATTATTTTTAGTTACGCATTTGCAAAAAACCTCTTCGGCATCAACAGACAATCTAAAGTCGACTATGTAACTAACTTGACTACGTCCATAAGCACTGCTCTTGGTACGCGTGAGCGCACGCAGCACAGTCTAATTTAACCTCTGAGGGTTGGGTTAGACTGTATGCGGTGCAAGAGGAATCAAAGGCCCGAAATTAAGAGCGCGAGCGCTGTGGAGAGTACTTGGCAAGGATCCAGAAGAACTTGATTAGGATATCCGTATGGAAACAAATCCTCGTAACTCGTTTCAGGAGAACTCTGGAAAGACATGAAAGACACATTTGAAATCAGCAT